GTGATGTGTGTCCGCAAGTAGTAGAATTATAACGATAATACAACGCTCACATTATATCGGCTTTTATATAGTTAATATATTACAGATACCTATACACAACTTCTATGTAATAGCCGCGTTAGCGGACTTCAAGAGTCAAAACATTGCTTTGCGCTTAAGTGCGTGCGATTGATCTAATCCTCTAGATCTGTCATAGAGAGATATAAAAGTGTATGCCAATCATCCAAGACAACAAACACAAAACGATGTCTTCACTGTTGAGTCCATTAAAAGGTCATTTTCTCTCTTACATATTCTTCTTCTTCCGTCACACATATCGACACGATTTCTGCGTCATCACCAAATTTCTTTTAACACTATGTACATGCATGTATAAATATTATCTTATATACATTGACTACACTTTGGGCGTCCCGTAAGAGAATAACCAAATCTAAGAAAAGTAAAAAAATTATTATAAATAAATTGTGAATGGAATGTGTGTGTATTTGCCACGTACACGTTAAATCAACACACAAGAATATGTATAATTATATCAAATATATATATATATTAAATTCGCGGTTATTATCTCAGAATCCCAATGTGCATTTTCAAATCCAACGTTTTTTTTTTATAAAACATCAAATGAGAATGAAAAATGAAAAGTGAGAATAATCACTTTTCTTGGTAATATCAAAAATTAAATTACACGAAAAAGTAAGTAATACAAGTATACTTTGTATATTTTTTTTTAATAAAAATCTGATAGTCAATTCGGTAACATATTCTCGGAGTTTATTTTCAATTGTAAGAAACTTGGCCTGCGACTCGCTGATCTTTCTTAAAAAAAAGAAAATCAATACAAAATACGACGTAAGGTATAAAATACCTTTTTTTTTTGCAATTTTGTATTAGATCATCAATTAAACTCGTAAATAGTTAATACGCGCAAACAAACGCAAAAGATGTAAAATGACCACAAATATTATTAATGTACAAACGTTTTAAATCCACACATTTTCTTAAACTTTTTTCCTACCCAACATAGTCGATCGTTGCGCGAAATTCCGTATTTCGTTGCTGGAAAGACTCGTTAAAAGATCCCATTTTAACGATATATAGGTATTTTTTTTGTAATTTTTTTCTCTCTCTCTCTCTCTCTCTCTCTCTCATTCTCTCTCCTTGACTGGATAAATCAATTGCGGTATATGGTGCCGAAAATAAACAATACAAGGATATCGTTATTATATTATGTATCATATAAATTCCGTCGCAAAAAAATTGCTTTGCTTAATAATATTTCTACATAGTTATTCGCATTTTTTTCACCGCTTATTTGTCTTTATAAAAAATAGCGGAGATCGACAACATGCTGTCGTAGTTTATCTAAAATAATAGCAGCCTTTTTCTGAGTAACAATTAAATTTATAAGTAACACGTATTTTATATACGCTATATTATACAATAGGAATTCGTGTTATGTATATAAAAATTTTCTCTTCATACACACCGCAAGTTTTTAACAAAAAAAAAAAAAAAAAAAAGAGGCACGAATTGTGAGAAGATTAAATATAAAGTATATGATTTATATCAAATAAATAAAGAAAAAAAGAAAGCAACTTTTAGTGTGTACGTATACATATGCAATTATGTAATGCCGCATAGTATAGAAGAATCGCACAAATTCTGTAATGTAATACTACTTGTTATCATCTAATACGTATAAAGTATTGAAAATGTTGGCACCATATTTCTTTCTAACATACTTCAATAATCTCTTTTTTTTTTTTTTTAATGCAAATTTCTTTCATATATAATACTTTCTTTTTAATATAAAAAACTGCTGTGTTTAGGCTGGGCAGAGTATCGTAATTATGATTGTTATCTTTAGAACAGCTAGTGTAAATATATATATATATATATATATTGCAGCTAAATTATTATGTTTTCAGCATTTGAGAGAAAACTCGAAAAGAGCTACGTACGAGATGCGTTTTCATTTGTATGTGATGTCATTTATCTATATAGTTTTACGTCTCGTTTATATATATATAACATTTCTTCATATGTATATTTATACTTCTATGCTAAATACACTTTTCAATATATTTACGATAACTCCACACACATCGTTTTTTTTTTTTTTTCTTTTAATCTGCACAACTATTAAGTTTCTGATTTCTTTAACAATAGTCGTTAAAATCACTGCAATTAGAAACCACGTGCATTAATTGCAATATAATAGTATTACTACATATATATATATACTCGTTTTTTTTCGTTATAGGATTTTGTGTGAACAACCGCATTTGATCAAATTTGTAAAATAATTCAAATTCTTTTATTCGTTAAACTTCATCATGAATCATGTCTTAATTAAATGTTCTCATCGAGCTTAGCAATACCGCTACTATTAGTACTTATGACATAATACACTTCTTGAGATTTGTCTGCTAAATTAGTTTAGAATGTGAAGATAGAGCGAATGCTTTACATTGCACTTTATATATATTTATTAGAGTTTTATATTATAAATATACCCGAGGATTAATGCGTGCTGTTGTTGCACGATATTTAAATAACGGGTTTTGTAACAATATTACAAGAAGATAAAACTAAGTTCTTAGCGTTCCTTAGCTTGCTGTTGTTCGTTTTTGCGCTCGATACAATTTGAAAAACTATAAAAATTGTACTAATCACTAGGATCCGGTATAAACTTCTCACCGCTTACATGAGAAAAGTATATACTGTCAATATAGGTAATGTGTTTTAATACTTCCAACTGGCTGTGGAATGAAAAATATTCCCAAAATACGTTTCTACAAGTAAAAAATCACGTTTATATATGTAAGAAAATTATTTTTGCTACAAATCTTTTTCTCAACAGAGCAAATATAAACTGTGAAAAAAACGTTGAAAGAGAAAATTTGAAATAGCGGTCTTGTGTATGAAATTGTGAACGGTATGCTGATCAATATTAATATCAATATATAGAATCAAGATATTATAAACGATTCGAATTAACATAACAACAATGTCCGTATAAAAGAATTATTTTGATATAATTATAAATATTATATTGTTATATATTATATTATATTCTTCATATAATATTTGACGGAATTAATTTTGTAAGAAATAGAAGAAAAGAATATTATGTTTGCGTTTGGAATGATTTTTCCACATTGCAATTATAATCTAAACCTTCCAATATTGTTTATTAGAAAATGTCAATTAGTAATATGTATACAGTCAAAGAATATCTATCTAAACTTATCGCCAGACTATACCCCCGATAGGAAAACATTTTTATGAAATTACGTGACAAAATCTTGCATGAAAATTGCGACTTGCAATTACGTAGATATATTTTGAGATGTAAAAGATGATTGATCTTTCATAAAATATTTGTAACTGTTTGCAAAATTAATTTCCAAATACTACTTCGGCAAAATAACAACGATATGGCGAAAATCACCTTAACATGTATGTTTGCAAAATTAAATTTGAAAAAAAAATTGTTCAATGATTGAGAAAAAAATTTCAGCTGTGATTTTTAAAATATGTAGAAATATAAATTGTATATAAAGAAATCAACGTGATTCATGAATATACTTATGGAAATGCACAACACCTCTTTTCCAATTTTTGACAAAAATTAATTTACAAAATTTTATTTCGATAAAACTGTTGCTTCATGACGAATCATCTTGGTACAATCATTGCAAAAAATCGTCGTCATTCGTAATGTTATTTTTTTGTGCAATATTTTCACAATTTGCCTATTGGGGTACTCATATTCGTGATTTGTTTTATGAAATTCATGAATACAAGTCGCGAATTGCGAATAGTTTAACGCTAGTTTTTTTAAGTGTTCTTCTTCTTTTTAACGTGGAAAGGAATGATTTCAAGTGTAATGTTTCGAAAATATTAATCTATTGTGTAAAAAAAAAAA